GAGGAAGGAAACTCATCCATTCCCTGAACTCTCCTAGTCCTGGGCTGAAGCTCCCAGAGGCACAAGGGACACTCAACTCCAACAGGGAGCCTGGCCCATGCTGGGCATCGGGTATTCCCAGCTCAGGGGTCCTGGTGGCAGGGGCGGGGCCTGACTGCCACCCCCTACATACCCACATGCCAGGCAAGAAACTGGCCTCTGGATCTCAGCTTCCTCATTTGTAAAATGGGGACAACCCTCCCCATCATGGTGCACAGGACACAGACACAGCCTGTCAAGTGTGTGCTGTGGGAACCAGGCAGGGATTAGGAGCCCACAGGGCCTGCATCTAAGGGGCCAGAAGGAACAGACACCTGCCCAGTCCTGCACTGGACTAGAAAACTCTTAAGGCCAGTTGCCCCAGCCTCACCCAGGCCCTCGGCATTAGCCAGCTGCTCAAAAGCTATCACTCTGTATACCTCTGCACCAGCCTGGTCTCAGACCCACCCTTGCCTAGGAATGCCCCTCCCTCTCTCCTGCCTTTCCAAATCCTATTGGTTCTAGAAAGCCCTGTGCACTGGACTCAGACCTCCTACTGAGCTCCTTGCCTGGAATCCATGCCACCAACACTGCCCCATGCAGTCCCACCTAGAACAATTGTTGATCAGTTCCAGCTGGGCCCGTATCCCAAGCTGAGATCCCCGGGGCTGGGGATTTAGCTCAGCGGCAAAAGCGCCTGCCTGGCAAGCGCAAGGTCGTGAGTTCGGTTCCCGGTACCGGAGAAAAACCAAAAAAAAAAAAAAAAAAAACCTTATTAGGAACCAAGCTGAGATCCCCGAACCAGACACTGGCAGCCTCCAGGGCAGAAAACCTGTGTATCTTCTTCATGGCTGTCACCCCACTACCCACCTGCACTGGACAGGATTCTCCAGGTAAAAGCTCCTGGGGACCTGCAGACCTGGAAGGGGACAACAGCCAGGAGCCTGACACTCACCCTTGCACCATGCACTGCTTCTCTCACCCACTGCCCTACTGAGACAAGAAGCGCACAGAAGGTTTAACCCAGACCAGGGAAAGCCAGGCTTTGGAGGCCAGGCTGGTCCCTCCTAACCACCCAGGTAGGCCCAAACAGCCAAGCAGGTCCAGGGACAGCAGCCAGGAAAGGAAGCCGAGTCCTTCAGCCCTGCAGCTCAAGGTGGCTGCTGAGCCCTGACCTAAACACAGTACTTGATCCTACCTGCCCCTCAGTACTCCTCACCATCCATCTCCTGAGCCAATCGCTGCACCCTCCAAGCCCCATGCAACTCCTAACCCTAAGTGCAACACCCTGTCCTCCCCAGGAGGGACCTGCCTCCTGCCTCAGCTGTTCCCCTGGCTCCAGACCCACCTTTGCCAGGCAGTGGTATAAACAAATACCCTTCCTCACTCAGCCTCAGTTTCCCCGCCACTGCACTTGGCTTGTGGAGCCTGGGGATGTGCAAGCTGAGCACAGGCTGGTCCCTGAGTGCCTGCGGCCAGCCGCCGGTGCCACACCTGCACCCCCTTCTGCTCTCAGCCCTGGAAGCCACCGCTCAATCGCCCCCTAGGAGTCCCCTCAGAGGCCGAACCAACATGGGTTTATTTCCCTATCATATGCTGCAGAAGCAAAAGTGGACACCAAGGTGCTCAGGGAAGAGCAGGGGTCCCAGAAACCAAAGCAGAAATCAAAACGGACTGACACCTGACAGAGTAAGGCAGCCAATAGCAGCTTTTTCCTCTACCCTGAGGAGTCCAGGGCGCTGTGGCAAAGAACACCTCATTTCAGCTTTCCCAAGCCTCTCAGGAAACTCTGCACACACTCTCCCTGGCCTCCTCAGGGGCAGTCCAGTGAGCACAGAGGAGGAGCAGGTAGAGAAGCCCCTGAGCTGGGACAGGGCCCTGCCCCTGGGTAGAAAGAGCCCTCTACCAGAAGTAACCAGAGACAGGAACAAGCCACTCATTCTCACCAGCAAAGACGAAACACAGTGGGCGTGCTGGGGTACGGAAAGCCAGGAGCATGTTCTCATGGGACTGAGGGTACATAAGACATTAAACAAAGAACTCCGAAAAGTGGTCCTTTGGAAAACTAAGAGACCATTTCTTTTTTTTTTTTTTTTTTCCCCCAGTACCAGGAATCGAACTCATGACCTCGTACTTGCCAGGCAGGCGCTATGCCGCTGAGCTAAATCCTCAGCCCCGAAGAGACCATTTCTATGGTACCAAAAGACATCAAAACAGCCGGGCGTGGTGGCACACGCCTGTAATCCCAGCACTCGGGAGGTTAAGGCAGGAGAACCCTTGTGAGTTCCAGACTAACCTGGGCTACAAAGTGAGGTCAGGGCCAGCCTGAGAACAGAGCGAGACTCTGTCTCAAAAAGACAAAAACAAAAAAACAAAAAAAGACATCAAAACACTAACTTGGCAGAGGAGAAGCAACCTGAGGAATCCACCCACCTGAGCTGAAAAGGCTGGAAGGCACTGACCAAGATGGGGCTGCAGAGCGGCTCAGTGGCAAGCGCCTGCCCAGTACACAGGAGGGCCCCAGTTCCATCCCCCACACAGCAAAACACAAAAAGATAAATATTTGAGCATTAAAGGAGCAGACAGGAACCTGGAAGTCAGCCGGTCCTTGGCTTGTGCAGGACATCACACATAGGGCCTATAAGCAATTAAATTAACTCAAGAAACAGTAGTTGCTAGCCTAGCATAATGGCACAGCCATTCAGAAGGCTGAGGCAGGAAGATCACAAGTTCAAGCCCAGTCTAGATGGCTAACTTAGCAACTTGGTGAGGCCCTGTCTCAAAATAATAAAGGGCTGGGCGTGTAGCCCAGTAGCACAGCACTTGCCTCGAATGCCGAAGTCCCTGAGTTCCATCCTGAGCATCAGAAAGGAAAGGAAAAAACTGCATTCCAACAGGGTAAAAACGGGCCTAATGAGCTAAGCACCAGTCACCAAGAAGCCTCCCATGTGCACTGCTTCTTTTGCCACTCCCCATTCCCACCAGAGCTGGTGATGCTCCCTGGCCCCACCACCTTTGGCTGAGATGGGAAGGGCACTCTGTGCTTTCCTCCTCCACCACAGGTTCTGCAGAGAGAGAACCCCTCTTCTTATGCAACTCTCAACTCCCCACAGGCAGCCCATGTAACATGGAACCAAAGGTTTTGCTGACAACTGGCTCCAGCTGCAGCTGTTCTTGGCAAATTGACGTGGGAACCTTAAGAAATGGAAAAACACCCAGACATGGTAGCACAAACCTATCATCCCTGCTACTCAGGAGCCTGAGGTAGGAGGATGGGAAGTTGGAAGCCAGTCTGGGCAACTTAGATGCTGTCTCAGAATAGAACTGGAAAAAAAAAAAAAGGGTAAAAGGAGGATTCCGGGTGTAGCTCAGCACTCTTTAGGTTCAATCACTAGTTCTGCTAAACCAAAACAAAAACTGGAAACATTTGGTGACACACACCTATCATCCAAGCACTTGGGAGGCTGAGGCAGGAGGATTCCCAAGAGTTCAAGGCCAGCCAGGGATACATAATGAGTTCAAGGCCAGCCTAAAGTTCATAGTGAGACCCTGTCTCAGGAAGAATGAATGAATGAATGAATGAATGAAAGAAAAGAAAGAAAGAAAGAGGGAGGGAGGAAAGGCAAGACAAACCGACGCTGGAAACATATTCTCTTCTCTCTTGCAAACAAAAACAGGCCTGAGATCTAACCCTGGCAAGATTACTCCACTTTAGGGGCTGGGGATTTAGCTCAGCGGCACAGCACCTGCCTGGCAAGCGCAAGGTCGTGAGTTCAATTCCCGGTACCGGAAAAGAAAAAAAAAAATCTTAAAAAAAAAAAAAAAATTACCCCACTTTTGAAGTCTGAAGATCCTCAGCCAAGAATCACTGTTTTAAGAACATGAGAGGAAGCCGGTGTAGTGGTGTATGCCTGTAATCCCAGCACACGAGAGGCTGAGGCAGGAGAATCGTTGGGAGTTGGAGACCAGCCTGGGGGGTCTACAAAATAAGTTCGAGGGCAGCCTGAACGGCATAGTGAGACCCTGTCTCAAAAAGACCAAAAAAAGAACATGACAAAGAACATTTGACATCAGATGTGGAAACCTAATACATGTGAAATCAGGGCCTTAGATAGACACAGTGGTGAAGGCTTGTTATGGGAATACTCAGGAGGCTGAGGCAGGATAGTCACAAGTTCAAAGCCAGCCTGAGCTACAAAGCAAGGCACTGTCTCAAAACAATACATAATTTAAAAACAAGGCCTGGTGGGACGCGAGAGTCACTCCCAAGAGGAAGAGGGAGTCGCCAGAGAGTCTGAATGACACTACACTTAATTACTCCAGGCCAATCCTTGTGATGTCAACCTCCTTTGCTCCGCTCCAAATCCTCAGGGTTCCTGCCCTCTCACTTCAAGTCCCACGCTTCTTAAAGAAACCCTGCCTAATCCCTGGCGACTCTCACCAAGGCTGCTAACGTATCAACAGTCACCATGATAGAGCAACTGCGCAGTCCAGGCCGCCCAACCACAAGCGGGACGTCCCTCGCACCCCACGCCGTTTCAGCCCGGTGGGTTCCGACGTCTTTCCCGTCCAGGTGTGCGTGACAGCGGCTGGATGCACAGCGGGCGCTCCTGGGACTCCCCGGACTCAACTACTGCAGCCCGCGGGGGCCCGCGCGGTGGGGTCGCGCCCGCCCTCCAAACCCGCTCCTCCGGCCCGGGGCTGCGCGCCCGCCCGTGGCCAGTCACTCCGCCTCACGACAAGCCCCGCAGACACGTCCTCTCCTTGTTTACACTTTACACTCGCAGAAGCGGAGACTCGGGGAGGCTCCACCGCGTGCACAAGGACCCGGGCGGGGAGTCCGGGCCCCAGAGGCGGGGGGCGCCGCAGCCCGGGAGCACTACGGGGAGGGGGCTGGGCGGGGAAGGAGGGCGCCGACAAGCCCGGAGTCAGAGTCCAGACGCTGCCCCGGAAAACCAGCCAGTCGGGCAGGCGGGCATTACCTGCTCCCGGGGGCGTCGCTCCGCCGCCGCCGGGGGGTCCGGGGACCCGGGCCCCACGGTGTCGGAAGTGGCAGTAGGGCCGCCGGCAGGGTCCCCCGGGACCCCCCGCCCAATAGGGGCAGTCGATAGCCCGGAAGAAGCCAGTGGAGCGTAGCATGGTCCGTCCCGCGGCGGGACCCCGGCCCGGAGCCGCCCGGGCCCCCGGGCCCCTCACAGGCGCCGCGGTCGCCGCCGCCCGCGCCTCACGGACCCCACTGCCGCCATCTTGCTCCGAGGCCCCCGAGGCCCCCGGGACGCCGCCGCAAGGGACTCCGGGAAGGGTTGTCTGCAGCGCGCCTGCTCAGAACGCCGGCTCCCTCCTGGCCGCGGTGAACGACGGACACATGCGCTGGGTCCTAAAAAGGTTTACATGGCACTGAGTACCCCGGTTGTGTCTTCTAGGACCCTGTCGGGCGGCAGTGCCTGACCCTCCGCGGCAACACCCTTGCCTTCTTGAGCCCTACGCGCCCTGGGGAGCCTAGTCTGTCCGTGGCGCGCCTGACTGAAAAAAGCCTCTGGGTCCCGGCTTATTTGTAATTCTTTGGCATATCGATTTATGGCGCCCTCTGTGGGTCACAGTAGGTCCTGGGGGCTGGTATTCTTTACAAAGCCTACCCACGGACACCCATGCGTGTCCCTTGATCACACTAAAAAATTCATGTACCCCAGATAAATAAATAAATAAATACCACCTAGCCCTGGTACACAATTGACTCTCAATGAATGCCTCAATCTTTCCAAGTTTTTATTTTCTTTTTTGTTTCTGCCGCACTGGGGATGGAAAAGAAGGTCCTCACACTGAGTTACATCCCCAGCCATTTTTTAATTTTTTTTTTTTTTTTTTTGAGACAGAGTCTCTCTATGCAGTTCAGGCTGGCCTTGAGCTCACTTCGTAGCCCAGGCTGGTCTCGAACTCACAACGATCCTCCTGCCTCAGCCTCCCGAGTGCCGGGATTACAGGCGGGCGCCACCACACCCGGCCTATTTTTTTAAATTTTTAATTTGGAAATCGTCTCGCTATGTAGTTGAACCTGGCCTCAAATTTGCAATCTTCCTGTCTCACAGCCTCCCTGGACAGCTGGATAACAAGTGTGTGCCACCACGCCTGGCTACCACAACCGTTGTCACCAGTTTAATCCCCAGGTCTGCAATCACTCATTTTTTAAAATGTTATATTGAGCGCCATATATCAGCCTGCACTCAACACAACACAATACAATACAATACAAATTGGGGACAGGGTGTAGATCAGGAGGCTCCCAGTCCCACAGGGTAGGCTGTTTTACCAGGAAATTAGAAGAAGATCCTGCTGTAGGGGGAGACTGTAAAATGCTCCAAGTCCTGTGGAAAGTGATATAGACTGTCTTGAAAACTGAAATACAGGCTGGGTGTGTTGGTACACACCTGTAATCCCAACACTGGAGAGGCTGAGGCAGGAGCATCACTACAAATTCGAGGCCAGCCTGGGCTACATGGTGAGTTCAAGGCCAGCCTGAACTATATAACGAGACCCTGTCTCAAAACAAACAAAAAACCTGCAACATAAGCAGCACCATGTGATGGCACACACCTATCATCCCAGCACTCTGGAATGCTGAGGCAGGAGGGTCTAAAGTTTGAACCCAGTGGGCATGGTGGCACATGCCTTTAATCTGGCACTCAGGAGGCTGAGACAGGACAATAGCCACAAGTTTAAACCCAGCCTGGGCTCCACAGGGAGGCCCTCTCTCAAAAACAACAGGGCCAGGCATGGTGGCACACACTTGTAATCCCAGCACTCAGGAGGCTGAGGCAGGAGGATCGTTGTGAGCTCAAGGCGAGCCTGGGCTACAAAGTGAGCTCAAGACCAGCCTGAACTGCAGTGAGACACTGTCTCAAAAAGACAAAACAACAACAACAACAAAACAACTCACCTAAAAGTGTTGGCAGCCGGATGCAGAGATCAGGAGGAGGTGGTATCCTATGTGTGGGGACTCTCTTGAACAAACTCTGGAGCAAAAGATACCCCATGGAGGTGGGCCCTCTTTGTCCAATCAAGGAGCGCCATGGGAGTCACACAGGGTGAGAGGCAAGGGAGGAGCTTGTTTCTATTTCTCCATTTGATCTTTTCTCTCTGCAACTAACCATCTCAGCACCTGTGAAGTGTCTCACTCTCAAAGCATGTAGTTTGCACACCCACCCCTACCAGACTGGGGAGTGAGGGTCAGGACTCTATGACCCCCAGGCCCAGCTAGACATAAAACCCACAACACTCATCTTTTCTTTGTGTATGCGGTGTTTTGGGCTTGTTTGTTTTGAGACAGGGTCTGGATATGTGGTTCAGGCTGGCCTTGAACTTGCAGCAATCCTCCTGCCTCAGCCTCCCAAATGCTAGGATGACAGGTGTGTACCACCATGCCCAGCCCCCAGCACTGATCTGTTGAATGAACTAATCAATGACAAATGAATTCATCCTAAAATCAATGAGCCTCTAACTTAGTGGGTGAAGAAAACCGTACATTAAATGTTTAACAGCTGGGGAGTAACATTTGTCTTTTGAGAGTTTCACCGTGTTGCCCAGGACAGTCTCCAGATCTCGGTCTATAAATGCGCATCACGCCTGGTGTGAGGTGAAAAAACATTGATGACTGCAGTTTGTGCTAAGAAATGCAGGTAGAAGTGAGGACAGGGCCTTCTCGCCAGGATAGTATAGCCTGGGGCTGGGTGGAACTGAGGGCCTCAGGGGCATAGGCAGGTGCTCAGGACCAAGCCTCAGCCCACGCCTAGCCTCTTGTTCCACTCAGAGGATTGTTTTCATTGAGGTGAAATTCCCATGAAACTTGCTCTCAAAGTGAACACTGGCACTTAGTATACTGAGTGCTGTCCCCCACCACCATTTTATCCAATCCTACTTCCAGAACATTCCATCACTCCCAGCCCGGCACCCAAGTCCACTTCCTGTCTCTGGCTTTGCCTGTACTGGGAATTTCCTGTCCATGGAGCCCACACTGTGTATCCCCCGTGTCTGGTGTCTCTCAGCACGGTGTCCCCAAGGCCCCTCTATGCTGTGGCATCAGGGTCTCGTCCCTTCCTACAAAGACTATTCCAGGGTGTCAATGGACCTCACTGTGTCCCTCCATTCACCCACCGAGGGGCGCTCCCCCAGTTGCCACTTTCAGCTGTGAATCCCAATGCTGCGGACGTCAGCAGACAAGACTTTGTATCAGCCAGATACGGCAGCTGACATCCCGGCACTCGGGAAGCTGAGGCAGGATCGCCTTGAGTTCAGAGCCGACCTGGGCTACACAGTGAGACCCTGCCCTTGGTGGCTGGCTGTTTTAGCTTATCTTGTATAGACCCTAAGCGTGGAATTGCTCGGCTGTGCGGTGACTCCATTTCCCAGACTGAGTGTTCCCCAGATCAGCTGCCTGCACTACACCCCTACCAGCGGCACGTGAGGATCTAATGTCTCCATATCTCCCCCAACGCTTTATGTCCCGCGTTTGGATTCCAGCCATACTGCGGGATGCGAATTGGTATCTCACTCGCATTTTCTGCAACAGTGGCACTGACCGTCTTCATGCACATTTTGACCATCTGTACCTCTCTCTAGGGAAACTTCTCTTTAGAGTGGGGGTGTGGGCCCTACGGGAGGGATCAGCCTTTGGACAGACTGAATGGAGACAGGCAGGCAGGGAGTGCCCTGAAAATCCGGCAGAAGAGCATTCCAGGCAGATGTGGCCGATGCAAAGGCCCCGCGGCAGGAGGGAGCCTGGTGCAGCGCAGGCGCAGCAGGAAGCTGTGAGGCTGGTGTAGAGCGAGGAGCACAGAAGGAGGAGGGGAGGTGGGGAGGGGGCGGGTGGGCTGCAGGAAGGATTTGGGCTCTGTTCTGAGGGCTGTGGAAGCCATGGAAGGCTGGGTCCTGACGCAGGTGCTCACAGGCACCCTCATGCCTGCGATGGGGAGGGGCAGGCTGACAGAGAAGATAAAACCAGGTGAGGTGGTGTTCACTTCTAATTCCAGCCACTTAGGAGGCTGAGTCAGGGGGATTGCAAGTTTGAGCCTAACCTGGGCAGCTCAGGAAGACACTATCAAAATTAAAGTGAAAAGGGCTTAAGATGCAACTCAGCGGTTAAGTGCTGGCCCAGCCTGAGGGAGCCTCTGCGTTCAATTCCCAGCACAGCAGAAACAGTTTAGACGAAGCCGATGTGGTGGTTCAAACTGTAGTCTGGGAGGCTGAGGCAGGGTGTAGCTCAGTGCACATGCCCTGGGTTCACTGCCCAGCAGAGCAATCAAACAGAAAGTTAGATGAGGCCGGTGTGGCGCTGCACGCCTGTAACCCGTAATCCCAGCGCTACAGAAGGGTGGCAGCGAGGTTAGGAGTTCAACCTGGGCGGTTTACGGAAACCCTGTGCCAGAATAATACATAGAGGGGCTAGGGGTGCAGCTCAGTGCGAAGACCCTGGGTTCCATCCCAATACAAAAAGAAAGAAAAAAAAATTGGCTGAGTGAAGGAGGGGACCTGAGAATCTTCCAAGGAAGGAGGGGGCGCCGACCGTCCTCCAGCAAACGTGGGGTCAGCCAGAGCTGAGGGGCGCAGTACCAGAGGCGGCCCCCAGGCGGCGGGCCAGCGTCTTTCCCAAGCAGCAGGTGCACCGCCTCCGCTCGATCAGGACCTGGGGCTCCGCGCTGGGGTCTGCGGTGTCTGTCTCCCGGGGAGCGCGCCTTCGTTCTCACCCACTTCTGAGCTCCCCGGGGATGCAACTGGAAGCTGGCATACAGGGGAAGACAATACCTGAGCTGCACAGACGGCCAGGCACTGACTGCAGGGTGGGAAGAAGGGGGAAAGGGGGGCGCCTGTGTGCAGCCCCCACCCCGGCCCTCCCGACGCCGGAAGGGCGAGGGGGCGGGGGTAGACGCCCAGCGGGGTGTTGCTGGGTAACGGGGCAGGTGGGGGGGCGCAGCTGCGCATGCTGGTGACATTACACAGAGCGCGGGGTTGCTTGGTCTCCAGGCAGGGGCAGGGGCAGGCAGTATTGTCTCAGCCAAGACCCCAGCCACACCCGGGGATACCCTAGCCTGCTGCCTGTTTCCCCTGGACATTGATGAGTTTGGGACCCCACTGGTGGGCTGAGAAGCATCGGGGCGCGGACTCCACAGGCGCAGGAACAAACCACAGAGACACTGGAGCAGGCTTTTAAAAAGGGCTTAATTAAATACAAGGATGAACCCAGGCGGGGCGGGGGAGGGGCACCACCTGCGGAAAGCCCACCTCCCCTGAGGTCCCTCCTACCCACCCTTCAAGGCCACATGGGACCAGGTCCCAGTGACCCCTGGCTCCTGGGGGAAAGGGCAGGCTCGGGTCTCTCCAGACCCCTGGACAGGAGACAGGGGAGGGCAGCACTATTCTGGGCTTCCCGGGCCCTGGAACCGCAGCCCTACCCCTTGCAGAGGATAAGCATGGCAGCACGCTGGGGCCAAGCAGGGCACGTCCAGAGACACAAGGAACACGCAGCCCCAGCCCCCCGACCCCCCAAGGCCTAAGGCATCTCACTAACGCTGCCACGGGAGGGCGGGAGCGTTTCTGGCAGACAGGCCTGGCAGCCCTGACAGGGGGGCCGTGGGGACCCTCCGAGCTCAGCTCTAGAAGGGCGTGCCCTGCCCCCTCCGCCAGGACTCCAGCTCGATACCTGCATCCCCCAGGACAGAGCAGGGCACAGGCAGAGGCAAGCTTCACCCAGACCCCAAGGCCCCCAGTCAGGAGACAGCGAAAGCCACTCAGGTGGCCCGAAACTTCCTGCAGCCGATGGCCCCAATGGCCATGCTTTCCACGTCTTGCACAGGGAACCCGGGTCCCCTTCTTCTCCACTGTGGAGGTCCTTCTGTCCCAAAGGAGACCCGCACCACAGCAGAAAGACAGGACTGTGGACCCCAGCAGGTTACCCCCAAGGGACAGCTGCTAACCCCCCCCTTTAGACCAGGGCCCCTCCTCACATTCACACCCCCTGAGGACAACGAGCCACCCACAGGGGCCTGATCGAGAAAGGGACTTGGTGCCTCAAAAAAATACTCTATCCATCCAAAAAAAGGAGCTGCCCAGCAGGCTGAGCAGCCGGGCATCCTGTTTGCATTCCAGGGGTCCAGGGCCACTTCCAGGCACCTCAGGGGGAAGGGAACTTGAGGAGCAGGAAAGGGACTCTTCAAAGCCCTGCCACACCTTCCCTTGGGCTCTGCTGCCCACCTTCCGGACAGGCGGAACGCATCCACCCCAATGGCCACTAGATTCCTGTACAAGATTGTCAGTCACAGTGCCTTAAAGGCCAAAATCAGAGACCCTGCCCCAGCGGGGGGAGCAGGGATCCTTGTCCCAACCTCCTTTGAAGTCTCTCTCTCTCATACACACACACACACCCAAGGAAGGAGAGTGCCCTCCCAGTGCCAGCAGAGCCAGGAAAATAAATAAACCAGCATTCACACGCAGTCTGCCTCCCGCTGCCGCCATGCTCTCCCCAAAGGGAGCCCCAAGCGCTCCCGGGGGAAACCGCTCCAGTCCGCTCCCTCCCCATCTCCTGGGCAGGCCTGGGGTGCTGGGCCACCCCTCCCTTCCAGGGGCACCATCCGTGGATACCTGAGATTGAGTACCCGAGTAGGGGGGCGGCCAGGCGGCACCCCCCATTTCCCTGAACATCTCCAATGGCTTTCAGCAGGGTAGGGTGGGGTGGGGTGGGGTGGGATGGGGACAGGCAGTGGCCTGTGGGAACCCCTGGTCAGCTATGGCTCTGTGCAGACTTCTTCCCAACCTGGAGGGAGTAGCCTGGTGGCCCAGTGACCACACTGGGCAGGGGGCTCCCCTGGGCCCCACTCCACCCCTGAACCCCACCTTGGGGGAAGACGGAGTGGTGGCAGTGGGGGCGCTGGCCGACCACCCACCCAAGGGACAGATGGGAAGAGTTAACAATCATGGCTATGTACAGGCTGGGCGCCCAGAACCCCGCCCAGGCCACCTCCATCGGCTGACCCAGGTCCAGCATCAGGCCCCTCCTGTGTTTGAGCAGGGGTGGAAACAGCTGGGGGGCCGGGGTCCATGTTGGTCCCCACCAGGAGCCCCAGATGGCGGGTGTGTCCTGTTGCTGGTGGTCCCGCCGCGGTCTGGTGGGGCCGAACTCAGGACAGGGCTCGGGGTCTACAGGCCGGCAGGTGCAGGGCTGGGCGCAGGGCTGGGCACAGGGCTGCCAGCCTGACTGCAGGGCAGCGAGTCGCTGGGCGAGGTGCTGCGTGTGCCTGGGCGCCGGAGCAGCTCCGGCCGGAAGCCAGGGTGGCGGCGGGCGTGTTTGGTCAGGTGGTCGCTGCGGGTGAAGCGCTTGGTGCAAAGAGGGCAGGGGAAGCGCTTCTCGCCTGTGTGCGTCCGGTGGTGGCGGGCCAGCTCGTCAGAGCGCGCGAACTTCTTGTCACAGCCCGGCCAGTCGCAGGCAAAAGGCCGTTCACCTGGACAGGGGACAAACAAGTGGTCAGCCAGGGAGAAGAATGTGGGAGTTCCCATCTGACCCCAGGGGGTCCCTGTGGCTCATCCAGATCCTTGTTTCATTTTCTTTTTTTCGCGATACCGAGGATGGAACCTTGGACATTAGCAAGTGCTACACTCCAGCCCTTTCTTTTTTTTTTTTTTTTGTCTTTTCGAGACAAGGTCCCACTATGCAGTTCAGGCTGACCTTGAGCTCACTTTGTAGCCTAGGCTGATCTCAAACTCGAAACGATCCTCCTGCCTCAGCCTCCCAAGTGCTGGGATTACAGGTGTATGCCATCACTCCCGGCAGCCCTTTATTTTCTGAGCCGGCATCTCCCTAAGTCACTAAGTTGCCTGGGCTGGGTTCAACCTTGTGATCCTCCTGCCTCAGCCTCCCAGAGTCCTGGGATGACAGGTGTACACCACTGCACCAGGCAGCACCTTTCAGTTTAGAGGCCTTTTTTTTTTAAGAGACAAAATCCTGCACGTGAATTTGAAAACCCACAAACTGGGCTCAGTAGACTGCATGCATGGGAACCTGAGTTTGCCTCACAAAACTGCAAAATGTAAGTAAATAGACCAGATGTGGTCGCACAAGACCTGTAGTCCCACAAGACCTGTAGTCCCAGCACTTGGGAGGCTGAGGCAGGAGGATTGCTGCAAATTCAAAGCAAGCCTGGACTACAAAGTGAGCTCAAGGCCAGCCTGAACTGCATATCAAAACCCTGTCTCAGAAAAGGAAAAAAAAAAGTGAGTAACAACAGCCAGGCATGATGGCATATGCCTGTAATCCCAGCACTTAGGAAGCTGAGGCAGGAGGATTACCATGAGTTCCAGACCAGTCAGAACTAATAGCAAAACCCTGTCTCATAAAACCAAAGGAAAGGAAAAGATAAAAATATTGAGCAAATTGCAACACACTCAACTCCCATCTACCCTCAAGGGACCCAACACAAAACCCTAATAAACATTTTCTGTTTCTGTCCTTCAAACTTTTGGAAACAGGCGGTACCAGGAACCAGTTCTGTATGCCACTGATAGATCCTGGGGACACTTGAGGCTTTATGGACCCCAAGCCCACCTCTCCCATCCCTCTTACCCAAGTGGGAAGTATTACAATAAAGAGGGTCCCCTAGCTTTAACGTGGTGCACGGCTTTAATCCCAGCACTGGGGAGGCTGAGGCAGGGAGTTAGAGACCAGCCTGGGCTCCACAGTGAGTTTAAATCCAGCCTGAACTACATAGAGAAACCCTGTCTCAACAAAACAAAACAAAACAAAACAAAACAAAACAAAACAAAACAAAACAATCCCAGCACTCTGGTAAGCTAAAGCAGGAGGATCACAAGTTCAAGACCAGGAGACGGTCTCTAAGCAAAAACTAAAAAAGGGCCAGGGACGTAACTGAGGGTCACAGTGCCCTGAGGTTCTCAGTGGAGGGAAACCATGAAAGCAGGAGTTTTCCTGCAGGAGGGTGGGGCCTTGAGCCTGGCACCCAAGGCCAGCGGGACCGAAGTGGCCCAGGGCAGGCAGGGGCGGAAGCTACCCAGCAACTTCCTCCGAAGAGCAGTGCCACTGCCGCCGCCCATCCTTTGCCCCCCCACGATCAGTCGCCACCTCTGCACCTCTCCCCCTCCCCACTTTGCTCCAGAACTGCGTCCCAAGGCCCCACATGGTGGCGCCAGGGACCAGGACGCTGGGACTCTCAGGCATCTTGCCATCCCCCCTGGCTAGCTAGGGGTCTTGGGGGTGGGGCAAGGCTTAGACACATGGGAAAGGGGGTTCACACATGTGCACAATGTCTCGTAACATTCAGTGGAGAGGGTAAAAAGAAAGGAGGATCTGGTCCCCAGTGGCCCCAAGGCCTTGCCTCAGGGGGCCCAGTGGGAGGCTAGGGTGGCGGTCAGCTCCTGCGGGCTAAAGTGATCCAGGCTGACCCGGGGAACTGTCCACTGATGGGGGACAGATACTAGGACGGGTTCAGGTAACACAACGTGAGAGGAGTCAGGCATGGGTCCCTGAACAGGACCCCCAGGGAAGGGCTGCAGAGGTGAGCAGAAGCTGGCGGCGCGGGTGGGGGGTGGGTGCGTGTGTGTGTGTGTGTGTGAGAGAGACATGTGGCAAGAAAAGCTAGAGGGGGGAGGGGAAGTGGGTGGGGCCGGGGCTCCCAGGGCCACGTGCCACCACCACGCCCATAAAGGGGCCCAAAGAAAACCTGCCCCCACACAACAGACAACCCTACAGGGCAGGAACAGGGCCTGTAGGCCACACTCACATCCGAAAGACACACAGGTCTCAGGAGGCTGGGACCCCGGGCAGAGGAGACCTGGTGCCACCTAGGGGAGTGAGGAGGGGCAGTAACTACTGCCAAGACCACCAGCTTCCCCACACCCCAGGTCTCCCCTAAACAGTACAGGAAGCAGGCTCAGCACCTGCTAGGAAACAGACCCTGCAGGACCTTGTTGTTCTTTTTCTCTCTCTCCTATCTCTCATTGTAGATAAGTGGTCACTACCTTGCCCAGGCAAGATTTGAACTTTCCATTCTCCTGACTCAGCCTCCCAAAATGCTGGGATTGCAGGTGTGTACCACCATGCCCAGCTACGCAGGTCTGTTCTGGACAAGACCCTAAGTCTCAGAACCACCCCAGAGAAGACCTTCACTCCATCCTGACCACAGCCTTGACAGCCCCCAGGGGGCTCAGTCTGGGGGAGGCGGGGACAGTCCTGGGGGTGGCCATGCAGTCTCATCACCATCTTGCCCGGGACAGCAGAGGGGGGACCAAAGGGAGAGGAGCCACCCCGCGGCAGATTCCCCCCCCCCCGCAGCTGCCTCACTTCCTCTTTCAAGGCAGCGCCCCCCCCCCAGCCCTCCACCCCTCGGTTCCACTTTGCCATGAGCAGGGTAGAGGAGCAGGAGGCGAGTAGCCACTGGGAACACAGCTGCCGCACGTAGCTTGGTGGCCGCAGAAGCAACAACCGCAGCCCCAGCCGGCCTGCTCACGTGGTCCTGCTCCAGCCAGGGGCCTGAGCCCGGGGCTCTGGTGAGGGTCGCCAAGCCAGCCTGGGCGCCTGCCAGTCACGGCCCCCAGCTCGGCGGCTGGGGTGTGCACGTGTGCACGTGGGTGGCGGTAACAGGGTGTGCAGCTTCCCGCCCCTACGATGTTGGCCGTGTGCCCGCGAAATGCCTGGCTGGGTCCTGCCACCGTCTCCCAAGGTCCACGCACAGGCAAGGGCTGGGTTAACTTCGGGGGCGCAAACAGGGGTGTCTCCGAGCTAAGCTCCCAAGGAAAACTCCCTTCCCCCACCCCAGCAAGCGCAGCCACTCTGCTGTCCAAGCTACCTGACTGCAGGAGGTGGCGCGGGCGGAGGATGTGACGGGTGGGGAGCACGCAGGAAGGGCACTGTGGGCGGAGCCGCGGTGGACTTGACCCTCTGACTCGGGTGGGGCGCGGGTGAGCTGGGGACAGCCGGGCCGCCTCGGTGCCAAGCCGGCTCAGAAAAATGGAGGGCAAGTCGTCCTGGAAAACTGCTCCAGGCCCTGAGCCGCCAGCAGAGGGGGACCTGGAGGTGGTACGCGCCAGGTCTCGGTCGCACCCGTGTCTTTATGGGCCGCAGGGCAGGGGGCAAGGACCTTGGCTCTAACAGCGCGGCCTGACTTCCCGAGGCTGTCTAGGCAGCGTGCGGCCGGCAGGGCCCACACTTGCACAAATGTCCACCCACCCGGAGAGGGGGGCTCATGGGGGAGGGGCACTCGGGCCTCCCACTCCTCCCTCCTCCCTCCTCCCACAGGCTTCCTCTTTACAGTTAGTCTGCGGCACCCACCAAACTTGTACTCAGCCAGGTCCCTGGGAGGTCTCAACCCCTCATCTCCCCTCAAGCCACCTGCCAGCTGAGCGCCACCATCTTCAGAAGCCATTCTGACACCACTGTTGTTGCACCCCCAGCCTGCACCGGGACTAGTGCAGTAGCCCAGCAGCACCAGCCCTGGCCTGGGCCACCCAGCTTCCCAGAGCTCGGCCCTGGCTCGGGGTCAAAGCTGACGTCCTCCCCGGGCTGAGAGCTGCGGTCTGCTCCAGCTGAGGCAAGCAGCACCCTCACAGCGGTCTCCGCCTGCTCCTCAGCCTGTCCTCACGCCCTGTTTGCACGTGGAGAAGGGGAGAAGGGAGGTGTGGAGCCCACAGCAGGGCCCTGCAGCTCACTGCACACCTGGGAGACGAGGTATCGGCCTAGAGGACCCACACCTGCTCCCAACAAGAGCCACAGCAGCAGATGCGCCCCACACACCCTGGCCCAGCACCCCTTATCCTTCCCGCACGCACAGCCCAGGCCACTTGGCCGCTTACGGCCCACTCACGTGGGTGCCTGCCCCTGGGGGAGCCTGTGAGGGGCATGTGGAGGATACAGCTCAGGCCAGGGTCCCCGCCCAGCCTGCCGGCCTGCCCTCCCCCTCCAGCACCCTGGCTGGTATCATTCACCAACTCCCAGCCCATCTGGGCCACCTTTATCAGGAAGCCGGGGTGGGGGGTAGTTATCACCCCCTGCAGTGTTGGGGGCCCTCCTCCTCCCACCTGCTGGGATGCTGCAGCTAGTCCCAGCTGCTGTCCTTGGAGGAAGGGGCTGGGCGCTGCCCACCTGACCCTGACCCCAACGGTGCTCACAGCTCTGGCTGGGATGTAGGCAAGAACGCTCAGCTCAGCTTGGAGTATTGGAGGGCTTCCCCCTCCAGGTCTTACTTTCCCCATCTGCCTCTCCTCCTGGGACCCTCTACAGCAAACAGCATGCAAACCACCACCCTGCCCACCCCTGGGGCTGTCAGATCTGGGCTCACCTCTCTCCTCCCAGTCAGTGCCCCGCCCTCAACCCCTCTCCCATCCTAATCCTGTCTCCATAAACGGATTTTCCCCTGCAAAGCCCAGCCTGCCTCCAGTCCCCACCCTGGGGATTAAACAGCCCTTCACCTTGCCCGATGCCAGGCTCCCTCCCACATCCCTGCCCCAGGGCAGTGGTGCTGTTCCCTCCTCGGGACACACCATTCCCTGGCCTGCTGAAGTTCTCTTCCTCCAAGCAGACTGGCCTCCTCCACCAGTAAGGCCTGTGTCACCTTCTCCTGCCCCCTTCAAGAGTCCTGGAGACAGGGACTGGGTTCTGTCACCCCTGGACCACGCACACTCTGGTGCACAGAACACTACCACTATTTCTCAAAACTTAAAGATGTTTGAAGGACAGGGTAACTAGGGGTAGAGCGTGGCCCTACAACACTGCCCCCCCAGGAACCAAGTGATTTCTGGGGACCACTGTGGTTATCACACTGAGGGTGCTGCTGGCCCGCAGTGGGTAGAGGCCAGGTACAATGCTCAGCACCCTGCAGTGCCAGGACGATCAACCCCAGAGAAAGACCTGACCCCAAAAGCTCTCAGTGCTGAGGAGGAGGCCGAATCATCAGAGCTCTCCCAGCTCCAAGTGCTGTCTCTGGGGAGGGGGTCAGACCCCCCCACCCCGCGTCACACAGCTGACTGTGCCCCGAACTGGGGGACCAGGAGCCTTCCGGGGATGGAGGAGGTTCCAGGACTCAGGAGCAAGGAGTCAACAGCCAGCCTCCCCCCCCCCTCCTCCACCCCCGCCACACTGCTGGCTCTCTCTGTATCTATGGCAACAGCATCAACATCTCCCACAGCTTCCAAAGTCCTTCCCCACCTCGCACAGGGATTCTTGGAGGGGCTGGGGGACGTGGGCCAGAGGTAGGAGCTTAGCAGGCCATGTTCTCCCCCCTGCACCCCAACGCCCCAGTGAGAAACATCCCATGGACCCTTCCAGCCTCCTCCTCCTCAACCCCAGGGCCAAATGGGGCAAAGGTAATGGGGTACAAAGCCTCAGACCACCTGGCCTCTGTCTGCCCATCTGTCCAAGGGACCAAAACCAGGCTGCTCTTCCCTTAACACTGAGGAGAAAGTCCCCAGGCAAAGGTGGGGGGGGGGAGATTTTCTCTCCCAAGCTGTAGCCCGCAGGGGTGGAGCTGCGAACAGCTAGTGACCCACGAAGGCTCCAAACTAAATCCACGCCTAACTGGCCTAGGATGCCCCCAGGACAAATGTGGTCTCCTTGCCACCTTTCCTCTCTCTGGGAGCTAGAAAAACCAAAAAGCGCCTTTCAGTGAAAGAAGCCCTTTCTGCTAACTACATAATGGTGCAAAGGCCAAGGACCCCGGCTAAGGACTGAGTGTCTTAGGACTGCCCTCCTTGTCCTCAAATGTCTATTACAGCGGGGGGCTTCTGGACAAGACTCCCACAGCCTCCCATGGTGGGGACCCAGGACCTACCCTCGCAGTCAGGGAAACAGCACGCAGCTCCCAGCTCCCCTGACTTCACCTCCCGGCCCATCTCACTGCTGCAAGGGGCCACTTGGACACTAGCTCAGCCTCCAGCTCAGACCCCTGCCTTCTCACACGTGAGGGGGGAGGCTGCCATGGTTGGAGATGGCCTGGCCTCCTCCTTCACCCCACCCAAGACGTTGGGTAAGGTCTGGGAAAAACCAAACCAGAACCCGATGTGATGGCCCACACCTGTAATCTCAGCACTTGGGAGGCTGAGGCAGAAGGATCACTGAGAGTTGGAGGCCAGCCTGGCTACATAGTAAGTTCAACGCCAGCTTTCTGAATTACGTGGGAAGACCCTGTCTCAAAAAAAAAAAAAAAAAAAAAAAAAAAGTCCAGTGTGGTGAGGATCAAAAGCAACTTGGGGACAGGTCAGACACAGGGAAATCAAGCATGAGAAAGTCACTGGGCATGGTGGCACACGCCTGTAATCCTAGCACTCAGGAGGCTGAGGCAGGAGGATCATTTCGAGTTCGAGACCAGCCTGGGCTACAAAGTGAGCTCAAGGCCGGCCTAAACTGCACAGCGAGACCCTGTCTCAAAAAGACCAAAAAAAAAGACTGAGAAAGTCGGGGTTCCTCTCTCAACAGGTTCCTTCTTCACCCAGAATGAGCCAAGGCACGCTGGTACCCCAGACCACCGCCTGGAAGAGCACCTTAGTCCCCCGCAAATTCCTTCACCATCTTCACAGACCCCGCCCTCAAGCACCCCTACTACACAGCTAAACACCCTGGTGCCTCTCAGCAGAGGGTGGTGGCTCCACCCCCTGTGCTGTCCTCCCCTGGGCTTCAAGAAGGCAGACCCTCCAGTCCCTCAAGGATGCGGGGAGTGGGAAGAGCAGAAACAGGTGCTCTCCAAGTCCGCCGCCCTTACCCTCCCTCCTGCTCTCCACTGCGGCTTTTCACACCCCAGGACGGCACTGTGGTCTCTACCTGGTGTCAGAGGCTCTATAAGGGTGCCTGGGGCCACCATCAGGGCTGTCTCTACTTCCTCGCACCTCCCCAGGATTCCTCTGAACCAAGCTCCCGTGTGAACGGCGTTGCCCCAAACAACCCCCACAACGACCCTAAAAAAGAGAAAACAATCCTGCATCCTTTATAGAGATGAGAGACTGACACCGGAGCACCTAAGTCCCCTAGTAAAAGGCGGTAGAGCCAGGATGTCCCACAGCTCGTCCCCAGATCCCCATCCTTGCTTCCCGGAAGGGTCAGGTTCTCCAATTCAAGACCCAGGCCGACCAAAGAGGCCCACCTTCCCGTCACCCACTCCAACTCCCAGCCCGGATGGTGTGATCCACGGGGGCACAGCGGGAAGGGGTGGAAGCCAAAAACAAGGCCAGCGGGCACCTAGCGCGAGCCGTCCCGGGGGCCCCCGAGTGGTTGGATCACTCCCCACTTCGAGGCTGCGCATCTCTTCGAGGGTGTAGGGAGAAAGCAGAGGCGCCAGGGACCCCCTCTGCAATGGCCCTGCAACTCGAAATTCAGGCCCCAACGCGCACTCCCGGCCGCACCCTCCACCTCGTTAAAATAGAGAGAACGGAAAGAAAACGTGCCGGGCACCCCCCCACACACACACACATCCTGGCCCTGCGCCAGGCTCTCAGCCGCCATCCGGAGAGAATCCGAGCGGCCTCCCAGGAGGTGGCGACGCGGCGATCTCCACCCTTTTCACAGATAAGGAAACTGAGGCTGGGGGAGGGCCGAAAAACAACCCCAAGAGCCACAAACTCTAAACACCATCCCGACCGTCCAGATCCGAACGCAGAGAACCAAGAGGGAGACGTCAGACCATGGGGCGGCCGGCCGCGCAGACGGTCGCCGGGGCCCCCTCCGCGCGCCGCCGGACCGCGTGGCCGCCACGCCCCCCGCGCGCGCCCCACCCACTGAGGCTCCACCCGCCCGGCGCGGCGGCGACCCGGGCGCGCCCCCCTCCCCGCCCCCTGCGCGCCACGCAGTTTCGGGGTCCCAGAGGGGGAGGGGGTCAAGAAGGCTGCCCCCGCACGTACGCAGACCGCGATCTGGCTCACCTGTGTGCGTCCGCAGGTGCGACTTTAGATGCGAGGACTTGTAGTAGGCTTTTGCGCAACCCGGGAAGGGACAGCGGTGGCTCTTGGCGGCGGCATTGGCGGGGGCGCGGCCGGAGGTCGGGGACGAGGCAGCCGAGGAGGAGGAGGCGGGCGAGACGCCCCCCGGGGCGGCTCCGGGCCCGCCGCGCAGGTCGGCC